ATCAAGTTTTAAAAAGAAAAAGAAAGACGACAAAAAGGATACCTCTGGTAGAGATTTTTAAATGCTGTTTGGCTGGGCAGTAATGGCACATGCCTTTAATCCCAGCACTCGGTAGGCAGAGCTAGGGGATCTCTGTGAATTTGAGTCCAAGCCTAGTCTACCAAGCAAATTCCAGGACAGGCTCCAAAACAATACAGAGAAACCTGTCTCGAAAAAAAGAAAAAAGAAAAATGCTGTTTGAATGGTGGGTGATAGAAAGCACCTTTAGTCCCCAGCACAGGGGAGTCAGGCAGAGCTCTGTGATTTTGAGGGCAGCCTGCACTACAGAGTAAGTTTCAGAACACAGAGAAATCTTCTCTCTCTCAGAAAAAATAACAAAAAAAGCAAAAAATCAGTTTTGAGTAGGGAGTTTTCACACACACACTCACACACACTCACACACACACACACACACACACACACACACACACACACACACACATGAATTTACCCACCCAAAAAATTCCAGTGCACCTCTGTCTAATTTGGAGGAACAATGCAATTTTAGTTGGTGTTATTAACAGTTGTTTTTTTTTATTTCTTTTTTTTTATTTTTTAAATTTTATTATTACTGTTTAGCAACGGGAAAATTTATTTACACCAGCAGCCATATGGGCAGGGAAACACACAGAGTTAATAGCTATTTGTATAGGATGGATTACTTATTAAAAAATAAGAATCTCCAAAACAAAAGACAGTGGTAAGTTTCACACTACCCTCCCCAATGATCCCAGCATGCGATAATGCCGGGCAGTGGCCCCTGGGCATGCGGTAATGGGAACTTATTTATGGAAGAAAAAACCACAAACCACAGAATTTTTAAAGAACCCCTTTCCCCCATACACACACACACCCAGATACATAATAGGATTACAGAGTGGTCAATACAATTAATTGAAGAGAAGTATAGAATTCTGCTGTTACAGGAAAAGCAGGGAAGGGACAGTTCCTAACCACTGTCAACTATATGGTGGAGAACATTAGCTTCCAAAAAAGTAGTGTTCCTTCAGGGCAGTAAAGGCTGAACTGAGCCCACCTTATATCTACACAGGGTGGGGAGCTATGGCCCTAGTGGAGATGATGGAGACAGAAAACATAAACAAAGGGAAGTAATGTGAGCAAACTATTACCCCAAACTACCACCCACTTCTTGTTCTAGCCAGAAAAAGAGTAGAAAGAAATTATGAAAGTCACATTTGAGCTCCCTATCTGAAGGCAAGAGTGGGCGGGCCATGGCCTTTCTCCCTTTCATTCTGTTTCCCAATACTTGTACACAGGAATCTTTAAGATCGCTTTTCCTTGAATTCACTGAAGGTGCTGAAACAACTCAAGTAGCAAGGGATCTTTTAAAAGTATCTTTAGTTTCTGGCCAAGGTTTCATTTTTTTCCATCAAACTGTAACTAAGCCCTAACCCTGAGCTGGAAAACTCTGAGAAAGCAACAGATAGTCTCAAGGCCCAATCACTGTGGTTTCCTTAACTCTTGAGTGACCCACATCAGTTCATCCAGTTCAGAGCGAGCCCGGGAAAAGGGAGACATGTCCACAGTAGGGTTAGAAAGTGGAGTACAGCAAACTCCATCCTTGTGTACACCAGCATTCATGGTTCTGCTCTAAGTCCTAAGAGGCAACATCCAAGCAGCAATGGGAAGAGAGAACTCATGACAAAGTGGAGGCATAGACTAGCAAGGCAGTTCTATGTAAGAGAAAAAGAGTTCTATGTAAATACAAAAAAACAAAACATAACAAAAAATTAAGTTATTTTCTCATCCCCATTTAAAAGGGAGGGAGCCATGAGAAGATTCTCCTCCCAGTCTTCCATAAAAACAGGTAAAACCAACAACATAAAAACCTAAAAATTTAAGAAAGCAACAGCAAAAACAAAACAAAAGAAGGAAAGAGGAAACATGCAGGCTTCAGAGGCAGGAACCCTGGAGATGAACTGAAATGGAGTGGCAAGCAGCACCGGGAATCAGAGCCGCACCAGATAGGCAGTGGAGCAGTGACAGGAACATGGCCAAGCCAGACAGATGAGGCTGGACCCTTGACTGGGGCACAGAATGAGGTAAGAAAACATCTCAAATAAAGCAGCACCGTTCTGTTCTGCACACCTCAGGTCTCCCACCCTCCTACCTCCCATCAACCCTCCCTTAGGGACTAACACAGAGGGCAGTTTGATCCACCGCTCACTTCCCATCTGCTCCTATCCCAGCCTCCAAAGTCAGAGAAATTTGGAGGTCTTTTCCTAACTTCCCAAACCAAAAAACAGCTCCTGCTGCCAAGGAGGACCAGGTGACCCAGTGGACTGTCATTTGTGAGGGCAGAGAAGGTGGCAGTGGGCTTAATTCACCAAAGCAGAAGTTTGATTGCCCAATTTAAGGAAAAAAGATTCTACAAGGTACCAGGTAAGCAAGGCCTGTTTCAGGACCCTTAGCATTAACTCATTCACATTACTGAGTGTAGATGCAAAAAGTTCCCTCCTGGCTCAATTTTTCAAACAGTCTCCTGCTTGGCCACTGCACCCTTCTAATAGTTCTGTGGTGCCCCTGGAGGACAGTGACTTATCACAATCATCGAGTCAGAACCATAGGCTGGTTACATCACCAGTAACTCTAAAGTAGGAAAAGACTGTCCCATCAAACTTAGGTCCACAGAGGCTCAAGATACGAAACTTCCAGGTGGAGATGGCCTGCAGTTGCAGAGGTCTACTTCATCCTCACAGCATCGGAACAAAATCTTCGACTGCTTGTAAACCAACTTGGCCTTGGCCAAACCTTTGCCACTAAGTGGAATGGAAAGACGGGGCTTTTGATGAGCCAAAGGTGAGGCTTTGTCCCCACGTCAGCTGAAATCACAGAATATGCTGGACCTCTGGGAAACAGGTGGTTCTGAACTTCTTGTAGACAAGGACTGGGCTTCCTACCAAATTCAAACGGGAATTAATATTTTTGTTTTAGTACCCAAGTCTCACACCTGACTTTCACGTGTATCAAAGAGGCCCAACTGGAGGCTTAGATATCAGAGGAGCAGTCCACTGAAGCTGACTGACCATCAACAGCATCCAAACTTTGCCGGAAGCCCTTGACATCAAGCAGATGCAAAATCTGAGAAACAAAAGAATTTGAGATGCTGGGTACACAGCTGCTCACCTGTGTACGGAGGGCAGCACAGGGAGGGATCTTGTACATCCGGGTGTATTTTATAGAGCTTAAAATACAGCATGCTGCCTGTGGACACTGTCCTGCCCAGGATGTAAGATCTGACACTGGGTATCCTTCCAAATGGATCCAAATTGTTAAATTCTCTTCTTTGCGCTTTTGTTTGTTTGTCTATTATTCACGCTAAGATCTTTGAGGGTAACTGGGACTCTTATCTTTTTTTTCCTTTTTTTTTCTTCTCCAACTTAGCTTACTCCTCCAAGCCACGGGGACCAGTCTACACTACTGTCCTGGTCACTGTCGCCCTCTCTCACGTGGTGACTACTGGAATTCTGGGGGTGAACGCTGCAGCTCCTGCTGGGGCCCATTCTCAGGTTCTCCGGGAAAAGAACAGAGTGGGAGGCTGCAGGCGCCTTTGTCTTCCACTGGCTGGATGCCAAAATCCTTCACGCTCCCGGTGTCTGCGAACTCCAGGTAGAAGTAGCCACACTTGACCGCCCGGTGCACCTCAAAGCAGAATCCCAGGCAGGAATCCTCTATCAGGTCTACATAGATCTCCTGGGCGATGGCCACCAGCTTGTTAGTATCCAGGTTGGCCAACGAAATCTCCTCCATCTTCCCCGGGTAGGCGCCGCGCAGAGGGCACTGGGTTTTACTCCCCCGGGCCGCGCTAGGCCTGCAGGCCTCTCCGGGCCGCGTCCTCCGGCTCGGCGACAGCGACGTCAGCGGCGACAGCGACAGCTGCTCCGGAGCCCCCAACGCTCGCCCGGCTCTGACGACGGCCACGCTCTCGTTCCTGAGCTGTGCCCGGGCATGGCTCACCGCTAAACCGTCTCGGCGCCTCACCCAGCCGTTCTGGCCTCTTCCTGTCACCTAACAGTTGTTAACAAGGAGGAAGTGACTGTCTTTCTTCCACCATTCATTCTCTCTTTCCCCACCACGATAATTCCAGTACCACATGTTTGGGTAAGTGCAAATTGCTGTACTACATTCATGCTATCGACCATCCCTTATGTTGGCTAAGAGTTTTTCACCTGACAGACAGACTAGGACAAAATGTGGTCAGAGTTGTGTGGTGTCCCCTCCCCCAACTCACCTCAGTTTGCTTCTTGAATCAATTAGACGCCCCTCCCCCACTCACAGTGTGTTTAAGAAGAAAGCCTCAGCCAGGCAAATACTAACAATCAAAAAGGAAATATAAAAAAATTGCCTGCTCCACAAGGTGAGCTCCAGGCCAGGACAGCTAGGCAGTATTTTTTACACAGAGGAAAACATGGGAAAAAAACAAACAAACAAGCATAAAAAAATTCCAACATCTTTCTTCATCTCAGCATTTGGGAGGCAGAAATAGGCAGATCTCAGTGGGTTTGAGGTCAGCCTGCTCTACAGAATGAGTTCCAGGATACCTCAGGTTGGTTGTTACACAGTGAAAATCTGTCTTGAAAAAATAAAAAATAAAAAGCATAACAGCAAAAAAGTCCCACCAACAAGCAACTGACAGTCACTTAAGTGAGGCTATGGCGGGTCATATTGTTATCTTGGGGTAATTTTGCTGCTGTCATTTTGTTTGTGTAACAGCACGACTTCCTTCCTAAGGGGAAAGAAGGGAGCAGAGTGAAGAGCTGTAACATGAAGGAGGCACAGGACTAGGAGCGCAGGGTCACTGGCCACAGCCCAGCTCCTCAAGTTCCTTCTCCATGGTGGGTTCCAGGGAGTACATGCATCCACATGTGACAGAACAGGGACCAGGTTAAGAAACCTTCTGTGGAGCCTGAGGCACTAGGCTTCATCTGAACCTTTCTGGAGGAAGTTTAGTCTAGCACTCAAAGCTAATATGGGATTTGAAAAAGGCATTGCTACCAAAGGAGAAACAGAAACCTCTTTCATGACAGCTCTAGAATTCTGCCCCTCTTTCCAGTCCTTTTCATGCGCAAGTGACAGGACTTTGAGCATTGAGGCTGTGATTTCCAAACCTTGAGTCTGACCTCCCATTGCAGGGAGTCCTCAGGGCTGGGGTACATCACCAGCCTCGATCCCTTTAGACATCCAGCCTGGGACACTTTGGGACACAGAGTCCTGACCCTCTCTCTCCTGCAGTTCTACCGCAGGCCCATTCGCAGTTGTTTGACTCTTTAACCACACCCTTAGGGAAAGTGGATCTATTTTTTTGTTGTTGTTTTTTGTTTGTTTGCTTGACTTAGTTGTCAGGTTCCTTGGCAAGACTACTAGGTGGGGCTTTCACCTGATCATGTGCACATTCCAGGGTAAATCCAAAGCTGTGTCTGGGACCAGGATACTTATTTTCCCTGCCAGTGTCAACTCTTGAGAAATACTACCAAGGGCTGACAGACTTCCTAGGGGCTCAAAGACACTCATGCCTTAAGTATGGTTATAAGCTGCAAGTCCCACTGAGAGAGCCACCTACAATCTTTTGCTTCCTCAGAATATAAGCAGGGAACACAGAAAAGAGGCAGTCGAGGTCACCAGGCCTGGCTGGGGTCTCTGTTCCTCAGAGGGTTAACATACCTCACCCCCATTGCGCTCTTGCCAAGCCCCAGGCACAGTCTCCCTCCCTCTCCACTGCCAAAGGGCAGTCCCTGTCCATCACCATCAACAGAAGTAACTAGCTCTATGTGAAAGCTAAGAAAATACTCCTCCTCCATCATGGATGGTATAACATAAACTCGTTGTGGCTTCTGGCACTGGCTGACAATCTTTCATCTTTATTTGAGCTTTTACCTAGCTGTGTGAGATATATCTGCTGCTGGGCATAGTGGCACACCCCTTTCAACACAGCACTAGGGGAAGCAGAGGCAGGTCTATCTCTGCTTCCAGACTGGCCTACATATCCAGTTCCTGTCAGGGCTACATATAGTGAGACTCTATCTCAAAAACCACATACAAAAGATTTTTAACATAGTTAAAAACAGACACACTTGTAAACAAGAGGAAATGTATGACATACAGAAAGACACCCTTATAGACTTCACACATAAAGAGTGACCCATGAGAGACATCCGGGGCTGCCACAGGGTACTCAGGACCTCTCAACATCAGACAGAACTGTGGCACTATGGCTAGTTTTACAAGGGCAGATGAGGTGGGGGATAGCAAGATGATTCTCTACAGGCCTTGTGACCCTGACATCCCCCATTCTGCCTTGCAATGGAGAGAGTTGGCATGTTTTCTGAGGTAGGATGGCACTGCTGATCTCTCGACACAGGAAGTAGTAATGAGAGTGGGGCAAGGGGGTCCTGACTCTCACTGCACACTCAGATTACTAAAGTGATTAGGTAGGAATCTGGACCCTGACCTAGATCACCTGGATGATCTGGACACAGAGCTGGTGGATGGGAGGCACAAGCTTCAAGTTGTAGGGGAGGAACACATTCTCTACGGCTTGGAGGCTGTCCTGTAACCACCTCTCGTAGAACAGACCAGGCTCGTCTCGAACTCCCAGAGATCCACCTGCATCTGCCTCCCGACTGCTGGGATTAAAGGCATATACCACCTCCGCACTCCCTGCTGAAAATTGTGGTTTCAGATAAACATTTTCATAGTTCTGATTTGTGTTAATAAAGAGAGAAGCCAGAGGTCTCTTTATAAAAATACAAGAAATCACTATTGGGACATCTGTCCCTGTACTTACACCGGAACAAGATACTCAAAACCAAGTGAGCTACAGGACACTCAAGGTCAGGCAGGCCTCCATTCATTCCCTTGGGAGGATCCTGTGAAGCTTCCATTAACATATGACTGGAGCCTCAAGGTCCAAGATACATTCCTCAACTCCTGATCTGAAAACCACACCCCAGCTCCCAAGCCTCTCTTTGCCAATCGAATCCCACTCAAAACAGTACAGTCTTAAAAGGTATCAACTAGTCACTCACTACTAGTCACTCATTTCCATCCTCATTGACAGCACCTTGCTCATTATAGTGCTCCCCCTAGCCGTGCGTGTGTGCATGTTGTGGCTGTGTGTGTGTCTATGTCTGTGTCTGTGTACAAGTCCCATGCCTCCATCTGTCTGTCCGCAATTCAACCAGCACTGAAGGATGAGAACAAACATCATCAACTATATTGCCAGGAACTAGCAGGGCTAAACAACCAAACAAACAAACAAGGTAGAAAAAGGAAGGAAGGAAGAGAGAGAGAGAGAGAGAGAGAGAGAGAGAGAGAGAGAGAGAGAGAGAGAGAGAAAGAAGTTTAAGTTTTCTGAGAGGTGGTGATATATGCTTTTCATCCCAACACTTGGGAGGCAGAAGCCTGCTGTTCTCTCAGAGTTAGAGACCATCCTGGTTTATGTAACAGGATAGCCAGGATGATACAAGTAGACCCTGTATCTCTCTCCGAAAACCAAAACCAAAACACAAAACAACAAGAAAAACTATATAATTAAATACAAAGTCATAAACACACTATAATCTACTTGCAACCAAACAAATAAACAAAAACAGTGATGGGAATCTGAATTATGAGGGAAGGAGTAAGCCCTGCCTGCCTGCCTGGGATTAAGGCCAGGTAACTTTTATATTTTATTTGAGACAGTGTTTCTCAATGTGTAGAAAAATCTTCCTGTCCAGGAATACTTTCTGTGTGCCTGGCCAAATCAGAGCACAGAGATCCAGCAGCCTCTGCTTTCAGAGTGCAAGGATTAATGTCATGCACCACTACAACTGCAGGAATGTTTATCACAAAAATATCACACACACACACACACACACACACACACACAGGAGAGAGAGAGAGACAGAGAGAGAGAGAGAGGAAAGGGTAGGACATGAACATGAAAGAAGAATTATGGGTTAACATTTTATTTTTGTGCATTCAAAGACTATGCAGAGAGACGCTGTCCCAAGTAAATAAAACATAGTTAACACATAACAGAGAAAAAACATACAATTAATAATCAAATTCAAAATGAAAAGGAATTTCTCTGTAAAACGTGGTTAGGAGTTGTGGGGGGCTGGAATTTGGTAGGGGAAGAGGGAAGGGAGAGGGAGCAAGCATTGACACATGAAAGAAGCTTGTTTCTAATTTAAAATTTTAAAAAAGGAAAAAAATGAACAAGAAAAACAAAACTTGGTTAGCTTGAACTTTTCTTCCCTGTAAGTCCATGTACCACACCCTGCCAGGTGCCCTCAAAGGACAGATGTGGACATTCATGAGGAATGACAGGCAACAGAAATCTAGAATTAATGAATGGGAAGATGGGAGGAAGGGAGGAAGGGACAGAGAGAGGGAGGAAGAGAGGGAGGGAGAGGGAGGGAGGGAGAGAGAGAGAGAGAGAGAGAGAGAATAGAAAGCACTCTGCAACTACTACTCCTGGCACACAGTAAAATCAGTCATATGAGGAAATTTACACCTCTAGTGCCCACCTTTCAAAATAATGTAAGAGATTAATGGTGGTGCACACCTTTACTCCCAGCACTCGGGAGGCAGGTGAATCTAACAAGAGTTATTTCCAGGACAGCCTCCAAAACCACAGAGAAACCTGCCTTAAAAAAAACTTCTAAGAGCTCAGATCCTAAAGCAACCTAGATGCCCCACTACTGAAGATTGGATAGAGAAAATGTGGTACATTTACACAATGGATGGCACTAGAAGAAACCATCCCGTGTGAGGAAACCCAGTCACAAAAAGACAAACA